GGACTTCATCTTACCTCAGTTTGAGAAGGCTGAGGTTTGAAATCAGTTTTGGTACGTTCTAAACACCTTTATGTTTCAGTTTTAGATAGCAGCCAGTGTATGCACCATGGATTCCCTCCCCATGCTCTCTGTGAGAGTTTGCAGTCACTGGGATCTAGCCTTAGCTGTGATGGTTTTTTTTTAATTGCTCAGAGGATTTCCAGTGCTCTGTGTGTTATGTGGGATCAGAAATGCCAGGCTGAAGTTGTCCTAAAAACCAACAACTTGCTGTTGGAGAAGGAAAACCTCGGCGGGATGGTTTCAGACAATCTGGTCCTTCTCTTCCTCAGCTAAAGGCATCTGCATCTGGCCTGAGGTTGAGTTTATTCAGCTGTGCTCCCTCTCTTGTCATCCTTATAGTCAGTGGAGTGAACCTGGGCAAAACAAACCTTTCTCCAGAAGGCATTTCACACACTAAAACCTGTGAACTCAAAAACCGTGAATTCTATTCCCAAACAGATTCTTTGATGCATAATCTCATGTCCTGAGCAAATGATCAGAGCAAAGGCTCTGTGGCAGAAATGAAACTGAGCAAAGGAGCAGAGGAGGAACTCAGACAGCAAGAGCACTCTTCTCTTTGGAATCATTGCACACAGGATAATGAGGCCTGAATACAAGAGGCTCCAGAGACATTTTCAGCAATGACATACCATGGTGGATTTTTTTTATATTAACATGCCCACACACAGTGAGATGGCAAAAGTATTGCTGAGGTAGTTATTCCCTTGCTGTTCCTAAAACAACAGAAAATCAGCTATCCAAACATGCACAATTAATAAAGAATTGTGAATATCAGTGCTCTTTTCTAACAATATAACTAAATATTACACAGTACTTTCCTTCTCTGGGTATAAATAAATGGATTGTCATTGCTGCCACACACACAAAGTACATTTTGCCCAAAACATGTGTTTTACACGGCTACAGGTGTCCTCTTTTGCATGGAACAATCCTGGAATTTGGGTGTTTAAAGTGATATTTTTGGCCAATTCCCTGAGTGCCTGGTGTCACAACAAAATGTGAGCAGGAGAGCAGACAGACTATTGCTTCCTCTTTTTCATTGACTTCTCACAAATGGTTTTCTCAGAATCACAAGATACTTTAACTGCAATTGCATCTTTTCCCTCATCACCAGACTGTTCTTAGCAACCAGCTTTGCTGTCTTACTCCACTGACTCCACTAGTTAAGGGAAAAAAATTATGTTTGTGCTCCCCTCATCATCTATTGTGTCCCTCCTCCAATTAGTATTTGTATTAGCAATTTAATTAGTAATAATTAATTACTATTACTAATAATTTCATTACTAATTCAATTAGTAAGAATTTAATTAGTATTAGCAAATAGAATTTGCTAATTCTATTAGCTTCTCTGTAAAAAGTGTTGGAAAAGTGTTGCAAAATCATTCACACCTTGTACCTTCTTTTGTTTTTACCCCTACATAAAATCACACAGGTGGCCAAAGGTACTGTGATTTCCCTCTTGACTTCTTTCCCAGCTGTTAGTCATAGTTTACTTTAGTAAAGCTTGAGTGCCATGCACTGAAACCTCCACAGTGCAAAACCCAGAGATTTGTCACACAATTCCATAAGGATGTGATATATTTCAGGTGTCACAGTACTGCTTTGATGGCTGACTCCAAACACAGTTAAAGTCCTACACACCACACACAGCCATCTCACCCCCTTTTCCTGTCCCCAGAGGTGTTCAATCCGTCTGAGATCTTTTCTTCTATAAATTTAGAGAATATATATCTTCTATATATGTATCTTTTCTTCTATATATGTCTCTGTTTTACTCTGGATTCTCAATAACTGTATTAATAAAATGAGTGTTCTGCAGAACTACCAATTCTCTTTCCATGACACACATCTGAAAGCAAACAGCTTTCTCACTTCTCTAAGTGCCCAGAAAAACAGGGATATTGTTTTCCTCTCTTTTTTTTCCCCTAAATCTTCCCAGTGTTTCTAGTTTCAAAGTCCACAGGCAACACATTTGCCACACACAAGCTGTAGGAGTTACTTTATTTTCATGATGGCCTTAGATGCTTTGTGTCAAGTCATGTGTCCACACCAAAGAGAGGACAAATTACCTGTCAACAATTAGGGTGTTTTTAAAATCACTCTAGGAACTCAGCTGTCTCTGTCTGAATTTTTCTGTGAGTGCATGGTAATAGGAATGAGGAGCCACATCTTTGATGAAAACTTTTCTCACAGACTTTTCAAACATCTCTATTATTTTTCATCTTATTTTTGATGGGATACTTGTAGGGCAGATCACATCACTGAGGTCTCTCTTTTGACCCTGAGTCAAATACCCTTATTGTTAGCAAATGCCATATTAACAAATCTGTGTTCAAAAGAATAAAAACACATTTTTATTGTATGCTATTCAATGTAAATACAAGGAACCATATCAGCTGCAGCTGCTTCTCTTTTTTTTTTTGCTTGTGTGGTAAGAAACATCTTACACGTCATGGCAATGATTTGGCAGTGAGAACCTGCTTTAATCAACCACAGGGCTGTTCAGTGTGTGCCATAGGAATGGAGTCAGTGGCAGAAGAACATCCATGTATTTCATGTACTCTGAGGAATTCTGTAGATAGGGGCAAGTTACCTGTATAAGGCTGAGTACTCATGGACACCATTCAGAAGGGAAAGAGAAGACAAGGTTGCCTCATAGATTAAAAATTCATTAGCAATCCATATTCAAAAGCCTGATGCAGGCAGCAAAATGGTTTGCAACCTGACCTTTCCAAATTTCAAAGAGATTCCTGGCTATGGAGACACATTTGCATTTCTTGCTTATTGGGACATTCCACCAAAACTGGCACAGAGGTATGAAAAAACAAGGATAGAAGCCATTGCAAAGAACAGCAGAAGAGTTCTTTCAAATTATGTATCTTAGAAAGAAAAAATTTATGTTCCGAATGGCAAAGAGTCACATAAACTCCCAAGCTTTTAAAGTCAGTAAGTTTTTAGCCACAAAGAACTGATTCTTTGTGCATCCCCATTCACCAAATGCCTGGTATTAAAAACAGCACCTAAAATATCAAAAGAATAGTTCCCAAACTAAGATATCCCAACAGGAAATGTTTCACTGAAAGATGTGATTGGCTGATGCAAATTTGTTCTGATTCAGGCATAATTCCATAGGAATGTTTATCTTCCTTTAAATTTAGCACAAATTTAGGCCTGCCCTCCCAAAATGATGACTGATTGTGGGAATTGCAGGCAGTCCCGACATGGGAAGAGATGAGGATCTGACTCCATGTTTCAGAAGGTTGATTTATAATTTCATTATATATATTATATTAAAAGAAAATGATATACCAAAACTATACTAAAAGAATAGAAGAAAGGATTTCATCAGCAGGCTTGAAAGGAAATGAACGGAATGATAATAAAATCTGGTGACTGACCAAAGAGTCTGAGACAGCTGGACTGTGATTGGCCATTAATAAGAAAGAACCACATGAGACCAATCAAAGATGCACCAGGTGCATTCCACAGCAGCAGATAATTATTGTTTTCCTTTTCTTCTGAGGCTTCTCAGCTTCTCAGGAGAAAAATCCTCGTAAAGGGATTTTTCAGAAAATATCATGGCTACAACTGATTTGCAGGTGTCAGTGATACAGAGAGGCTGAAGCAGTGTCAGCTTTAAGACCCAAAACTGAAATCCCCTTCTTGCTGCTGGCTGGCAGCGGAAATGGCCTTGAGATGGCGGGTCTTGCACAACCCCAGTTTCATATTCATTGTGCACAACGTCATCTTATTCCCAGGGTGACTAAAACCCAGAAAAAATAAAACATTGATGTGGTATACTTTAACCATTGCTGTGAAAGTTTTGTTCCTTGTGTCACAAATGCTCACATTGGCAAAGAGGTCCCAGCTGGCTTTGAGCTCCTGACAACAAACAAGGCAAACACAGCCATTGATGTGAAGCCGAAAATGAAACTGTAGAGACTGAGAACCGCAGCTTTCAAACACCCGGGGGGTGCTAAAACACCCCCTCACCAGCACACCTACGACAGCTCCAGGTGCGGTTCTGTTCTCTATCAAACCACACGTAGCTATTTACAAAATATAAACACAGAATAAATATGCTATTTATATAAACATACACTTAATGTACTTAGAAAAAAACAACTTTCCCGCTTCCCAGGCAGGATTCTTCGAGATCTCCGAGATCACCGGGTGCAGTCCCTGCCCTGCCCCGGGGCTGTGGCACCGATCTCCAGCGCCTCGCAGAGCCAAGAGGACGCCTGTGAAAAACGGCAATCACTTGTTTTTAAAATTTTAAAAGTTTAATAGTAATAAAATGGTTATAGTAATAGTAATAAAAATTTGGACAATTAGGATTTAGGACAATAAGAGACAATAAAAACAGAGTTACAGACAGTCCGGGTACCTCTTTCTGGGCAAAATAAGCCTAAAAAAGGACACACATTAACAGAGGATTAACCCTGAAAAGCAATAGCTTGTTGCATATTCATACACCTCATACATGATGCATAAATTCCATTCAAACACAGGATTTTGTCTGGTCAGTGTCAGCTTCTTCCTCTGAATCTTGACGGTGTATTCAGGGCTGAGCGAGGCGGGAAAAAGTTCGTTTATTCTGATAAGAGAGCAGTAAATCCTTTTTCTCTGAAAGATTTGGGTGTCCTGTGGCTGCTATCTGGTGCGAGTCCTTTCTTTAAAAAAGTATCTTACATAGCATAGTTTCTATTTTAACTTTATGCTATAACCTAAAACCGTATTTAACACGCTACTTAAGAAAATCAATACAGCATAACTTTCTAACACAACGCATATAATATTCATTTTAATATTTGCGAGAAGCCTGTCATAAAACACGCATTTTTCACAACGCGCTGTGGCCAAAGCCGCCCAGCCCCGGCTCCTCAGCAGCGTGAGGGGCGTCCCGCCTGATGGGGACCGCCGTCCTTCCCTCAGGGCACATGGATTTGCAGGAGCCGGGATCCCTCATCCAGCGGCCCCGACGAGGATCTGAAAAGGTCTCACTGGGGACAGGCGGGTCCCTGAGACCCCTCACGGCCAGGACGGACGTGCTGAGACTGAGCCCCCGCGTTCAGAAGCGGAAATCCCCGGCGGAGGAGGCGTGGGCGGGAAAGGGGACGGCCTGAGGCGGGCAGCCGCTGCTCGGCTTCGCTCGGCACGGATCGGTTTAGCTCAGCACGGCTGGTCCGGCACGATGAAGCCGCGAGGGTGAGTGAGTGCGTGGTGGCGGCGGGCAAGGGTCGCTGCTGCCGCTCCCAGGAATGCGCATCGCCCTTGGGAAACGCGAGTTTTGCTGCTGCGGCGGGCAGGGAAAGCGCTGGCGGGGGCTGGGCTGCTAAAATGCCCTCAGGGAGAGCCAGGGAGCCGGGACAGGCTGCGGCGCTGCCGGAGCTGGGGATTGCCAGAGCTCCCGGTCAGCCCGGGCAGGGGTCCCCTGTCACAGCGGCCATGGAGGGCTGCAGGGAATTAACGCCTTTTGTGGATATTTTCAGCTGAAGGGTTGCGATGGGACGTGACTGACTGGGGTTCATTGCCCCGGGTAGCGCTGCCTTCCAGCAGGTGTTAGCAAAGCTCCGCAGGTGACACGCTTAGGGCACCTGCTGATCGGGAAAAGCCGTGTCCCCACAAGGTTAGGGGACAAAGTGGGTCTCAGCAGTGGAGCAAAGCCCCCAAAGTTGTTATTGCAAGTATCAGGATATTTCTTGCCTGGCTGCAGCGTGCCATGGCAGCAACATCCCGTGGCTTTAAGGTAAGTAGTGATGGAGAAGTTGAGGTGCTGGTAGGAAGAATCATCTCACCCGTGAAAGGAGAAGTGCAACTTTCTCCTGTTTCACACGGCATTTTAAAACACTTGTAGAACAGGAAGGTGTGGGAAAGAAAAAGAAGCTTAATTTTTTTTTTTTTTTAATTAAGAGAGCAAGACCCCAGCTATGCCAGCACTTCACTGAGCTCACTGCTAGTGATGGACACAGGAGCTGAGTGAATGCAGAGGTTTCTCTGCAGGCAAAGCATTTCTCCTTTTCCAACTGAAGCTTGGAACTAAAGCCATTCCAGGGGAACATCGTGGGTGGAACCACCCCCACAAAACCACAGCTGCAACTTCCTTCAAGAAAGAGGAGGAGGAGGCATCTCTGGATCTGTCTAACCTTGACTGTGGCATCATTTATTAAAATAAGAAATCAAGATCTGCTTTGTATACATACATATGAGAATCAGTTCTGACTGATGCATCTAAATGTCTGTTGGTATTAGCAAATGCCTACCCTGGGAAATTCCCTAGAGAGTCTCTTAAGTATTAATCAGTTATTGTTTTCATTCTATTCAAATGAGTTGCTATATCCATAGCTTCTAATTTGGGTTGGGAATAATACATAATAATAAAACAAACACAGGCATGGGATTAAGAAAGATTGATGACTACATGAGCTGAGTTTGTCAAGACAAACATCTACAAGCCTGGCACAAAAGTGATGACTCCTGAACAGTGTAAAAATACAACAGCAATAAAATACAAATCCACGTGTAAAGGCCACTGTAAAAATCTTTACACTTATGTTTATACATTAGTAAAAGAAAATCTATTGCTGTTCTGTTTTGTAGAGTTGTATGTTTTACATCTTCGATATTGGTTAATAAACTACTTAATGTAAGAGAAGTAGTAGAAGAGACAGAACAGAATGTTTAGATGTGCTTCCCTGGGAAACTTTCTTTGAGACTGATTGCAGATTTACTGAAGTAAAGAGCAGAAGTTTTCCACACTGGGCATACACTTAAACTTTTCAAACCTCATCTATCAAATCATTTCAAAGGACACAGAAAAAGAAAATAAAGTGTGTTCTTTATACAAAAAATGATACCATTCAGATTGGTTCTCCCCTACAATTTCTCCACCTCAGTCTCTGGAAATGGGGCTTCAAGTAGATGTAGACTTTGTGTCAGGAATGTCCTCTGCTTTCTGCATGGGAAGCTGAATAGGCTTGGGAAGATGATAATTTTACAAAATACAAATAGATGTGATGTGTGAATTCCTGTGCTTGGCTGGACAAGGGAGCTGTGGGGAAAGGGCAGGAAGCCTGGGAGAGGGGATTTTGTAAAGCACAGCAAAGTGAGGAATGGCTGTGGGGAGTGAGTTTAGGTCAGGCCTTGGAGGGAGGAGGGCCAGGCAGGGCAGGGTTGGTTTGGAGGGAAGGCAGTGACCAGCCTGGGTGGGAGAGTCTGGAGCTCAGTCCTGGGCAGAAATGGGCTGCTGGGAGCAGGAATCCCTTCATCCCTTTATCCCTTTGCCCCAGCCCAGGGCTCAGTGCTGGCCTGGCTGAGGGCTGAGTGATGCCTTGAGAGGCTGCCTGGAACAGAGGCTGGACAGTGTTAAAGGAATAGAACAGGGATTTATTGAAAAGACCTTCAAAGGATGCACCTTGGGCAGTACAAGAGCCTGGCTGAGGCTACACTCAAGATGGGCTCCTGGGTCACACCTTTTCCCACTTCTATAAGTTTTGGTCCATTTATATATTAGGGTTCACTGTCCAATTACAGCTCAGGTTATGCAGTCCCATCCTCCCTGATTGCTCTCCTCAATTCTCTGTTACACTTTTTGGGCCTGAAGCTGCAACAGTGTCCTTGGTTCTGAAGCTGCAACAGTGTCCTTGGTTCTGGGGCTGGAAAAGGATTGTTTTATCTAATTAAGCTGTGAGGAGAACTTGCTGATACTTTATATGAAGTTCAGAGTTATAACTAATGCAGTACAGAATCTGGAAAATATGAAAGCTAAACTTAAGGCATCATGAGAACTCTGGGGAATGGGAGCCAGCTGAACCTGGGCAGTGTGGCCTCTCAGTCCTGCTTGCACAGGTGAGCTGGGTACACTGGTGACAGGCCAGAGCTCCTGTCACTCTGCCCCTCAGCTCAGCTGTGAAACCTTATTGCACCTGAGCAATATCAAGGTGGCCAGCTCAGCCACACAGTTCTCATTCCAAAAACCTTCCAGAATCTTTCTTTCCCTTCCTACAGCAGTCTGGAAGAAGGAGAGCACAATGTGTGACTAGGTGTGGTGATGAAAGGCTATTTTAAAGTAACTCACAGGGAAGTGCTGTCCATTTAGCTTAAACCCCTGTGGGATGAGAGTTAAATCACTTGGACTTTATAGATGGGTTAAACTGGGTTTCCTATGGCCTTCTTTCCTTTGGAGAAACTCCTGCACAGATTTGCCCCTCCTGAATAATCAAACACACCAGATTCCTCCCAGCAAAAACCTTTGCACAGCTCTCCACTATCAGCAGGTCTCCTGTTTACACGTTTTTACTCAGTGCACAACCTGGTGGGCAGCATGGTCAGCTGCTGTTTCCCTTTAACCAGACAAAACGACTCCTGGAGATTCAGCAAAAAATTGGAAAACTTTTATAGGGTTTTGACCTGTGCAGCCACTGTCCCTCCCAGTGACCCAGATAGCCTCCAGAGCCTGTTTGTCCAGCAAGACAATCAATTCTTTCAGAAGAGAAGACAGGCCCAGCACCAGCTTCATGCCCTCTGCCCTGATTCCAATATTAGTGCATTCTGCTGCTATTCGTGGCCTTGGCCACCAAACCACTGCTGAGCTGTATAAACAGAAGTTTTGCAGCTGTCAAAAATGCAAATACTTAATGGGGCATTACCTAATTTAGGAGCAGTAAAATAGGAGCAGTACCTAATTTACCTACTTCTGCCACTATATTAAAACAATCAAAATTGGGGTTATTGCTTATTTAAACAACAGAGATGCAAAGTCAGTTGTAACACTTGTTTGCTTTTTGTTTTAGGTACGGATTTCTGTTACTGCTCCTTCTTATCCTGAAAGCTGGTAAGTGCATAAAAACTCAGTAAAAATTAAACTCTCCTCCCTTTAATGTGTTTGGCCAAATGCACAAAGTAGATGTAAAATGTACAATATGAACATCTCTGTGTTTTCTACAAGATACTGAAGAATTCCTCAGAGTGAAATGTTTCTCTGACATGCATCAGGGAAAGAAGATAAAATCAATTTCTGTTTCATTGCAGAGAGCAGCAAGGGACCCTATGGATGCTCTTGCTCAGATTGCTTTGCTTGCTTCAGAGACTTCCCTGTGTACTTATCTCTGTCAACAAAAGGCCTTAGAAGTGGAGTAATAGGAGCTGCTGACAAGCAGATCTAACATGCCTGTATACTCAAGAGTAGAATTATATGTCACAGTACCAAGTAATTTTACTACTGCTTATTAGTAGTAAATTTACTCCTACTATTAGTCATTTTACTTTTACTATGGTTCTAAAATATCCCTTGCAAAACAAAGGCAGAATTAAATCACACCACCTGGTGATTAAAGTGTTTTTAGAGTTCTCTCCTCTGTTCTTGCTTAATCACTGAGGACCTCAACAAAGCCACCAAGGAAACTCCCTGGCCCCAATATCAGGACAAACTGTCCCAGATTCAGTCCCAAGAGATGCTGGCTGGCCAGTTTCTGGCCACTCATGGAGTTGCACCCATCATTGCCAGGGCATTGCTTTTCCTGCTATTCCAATGGGTTTCCCAAAATGTGAGCCAAGCAATTGTGTTGCATTTCAAGCCTGTTCTTCCAGTCCCAGTACCTGGTAAACATCCTGCCTTTCTCCCTGCAAGCACTGTGTCTGCCTCAGTGGTAGTTTTAGGCCAGGGTGCCCAGCTCAGATGTGTAGATGAGCTGTTTCTGAGTCCAGTGCACCCTCATAAAGACAGGTTCCCTTTTAGCATTGCCACCGCCCTCCCACCTCACCATGCACTGTTTCTGCATTTCCTAATCTCCACTCCTGTCATCTTCCTTCCCCTGAGCCATCCACCCACATAATCCCTTCCCCCAGCTGGAATCTCTCCCATCCAGCCCCATGCCTGACCCCTCTTGCCTGGCACCCACAACACAAGCACTGCTCTGGTGCCACCAACCAGTTGCACCAGTGAGGTTTTGGCTGCTGGTCTGGGGTGATGGATCCAGCAGGGAGGTGTGGGCAGAGCTGCCCAGCCCTGTGGGACTCACTGAGCTGAGCTTTCTGCATCAGCTGTCCTCACCTCGTGCCTTTGCCTTGCTCACATGGAGCAGAGGATGCATTTCTCATGTCCAAAAGGCAGGAAAAGTGCTCTGAAAGACAGATAAAGTCCTGACTTTGCCTCAAGTGACCCTCAAGATGTAAATGTCTAATGAATGTGCCACTGGAGGGATCTGGGTGTGCTGGTTTGCCAGCTGAGTGTGTTTGTTCAGAGGGTGTCACTGACAGTAGCAGTAAAATGAGGTTGCTTTGTCATTCCGGCTTTGAGAAGTACTTTTATTCCCCTTCTTAATTTTTTGGGTCTCAAAATAATGGCAGCACTCTTTCTTATCAATGTTTCCACTTCTTGTGATCTAAATGAAGTTATTTGGCATTTTTCTTAAATTAAAAAAAAATAAAGAAGAAGTGATTATTGAAGCATTAGGACCTGAATATGTGTCTGCAGTCAGTGCAAAGTGAAATGTGGATATCCATGGGGCTAGGAATGATTAAGGCTGCTTGGCTCTCAGAGAAAAGGTCCCTTTGGACAATGCACAGACAAATAGACATGGAGAGAATTAGCCACTGGAAATTTGGGGATAGGAATCACTATGAAGAGAGCATACTCACCTACCTGCTATAGAACTAATACCAGAGTCTATATGTGGTATAATGTACTCGAAAATAATTACTTTTTTCCCCACATAACCTCCCTTTTCTCTCTCTCTCTCTCTTTTAATCTTGTAGTTGCTGCACTGGAGAAGAAGAACATCATCAGTAAACTTGGAGACAACGTCACACTAAGTTGCATTTATAATGAAAAGAAACCCTTGCAATTAAAAAATCTCCGGGTCTATTGGCAAATAGCTGATGATTCCTATCAAGAAAAGTGTTCAGTTGTACATGCACTGATCTCTGGCCAAGATGATAACAGTAATCAGTGTATTCACTTTAAAGACAGGACTCAGTTATTCTGGGATAGGTTGGAAAATGGTGATTTTTCTCTGCTATTGCGAAATGTCAGCCAGAGCGATGAACATACATACAAATGCATAGTGCAGGAGAAAACTGAACTTCCCAAAGTGATTCACCAGGCAGAAGTGGTTCTCAGCTTAGCAGGTAAGAGCTTGTGTCACTTTACCCAAATTCTCATTTCCACTTTTCAAATTTGTGCTATTTCAATACTATATTTAAGCACAATTTTAATTTTGAAACAGACTTCTGCTCTTTGCTGAAATGAAGTCTTCTCTGCTTAATTTAAGACATGGAACATAAACCTTGAAGAATGCATGTAAAAACTGTTTACCTGGTGTCTGTTTCTTTTCTTCTTGTTTTTCATGGGTATGAGAGGTCTTGCATATGACTGGGTGACAGCAGCTGGAGTTGGTCCTTTCTTCCTTTGAGTTTGGCTTTAGCTTTCTGCCCTCCCAGTGATTGTCCCAGCTCTCAGGCTTACAGACCAAACCTGCAGGCATTTCTCTTTCAAGTCTTGAGGGTGATGTCAAATCCAGCAGTTTGTTCAGAATCCATCCCAAAATTTTGCCTTTCCAGTACGTTTCAAAACGTCGACAACTATTTCTTTTTCTCCTTGCTCTCCAGCGAGTTACAGCCAACCAATACTCAGTGGACCAATAGGAAACAGTGACAGAACTGGAGAGGAGGTGACCTTTCAGTGCAGGTCTGGCAATGGATACCCAAAGCCCAACGTTTACTGGATCAATAAAGCGAACAACAGTCGCCTGCGTCCCTCACAAACAGACATCATACCCCACGACGATGGCACCTTCAGTGTTCACAGCACACTGAAGGTGACAGCCACTTCTAACATGCAAATAGAGTGCTCCATAGAAAATGAGATGCTGCAGGAAAATCTATCAGCCAACTGTAAGTTCCTTCATGCTTTCTAGGTAGCAGGAATGTCAACCAGTGTGTCTCTGTCTGTAGATGCACACTAACAAGGGCTGTGCATTAAATCAGTGGTTCCAAAATGTTCTGAGAAGATCTCAGGCTTTGTTTCAAGCTCCAGTTATGCTTAGACATGGATCTGATGTTTAATTCTTCCACACTGAAGTGAATAACCCCACCAAGTGTGTTGTGACAACAGCACTGAGCAGCTCTTGCATCTGAGGCAGTTGCTGAGCTTAACCTTTTAGTTCCTCAGGAACATGATGGTTTGGGGAGTCAGGTTGTTTTTCAGGGGCCACCATCCAGCAGATCCATGACTTCTGACCCCCTACACAATGGCCTTGCAACACTAACATTTGCGTTTTACTCTGCTGAGTTCCAAAGTTCAATTTCCAGTTTCTCCAAAACTCAATTTAATACAGTGCACAACTTCAGGTCTGCAGCAAATGGGCAATATGAGCTCAATAGAACAATGTACCTTGTAGCACAAGTGTAATGTGCTAATTATTGCTGATGTGATGATTAATAGTAAAAGCAAGTATTTAGTCACTCAACTCTTCACAAAACCAGAAAGCTATTAAAGGAAAAAGGTATTAAGAACACCCCAAACACTGATCTCATGAATGTAGGCAAACAATATTAACTATTTCCAGGAGCAAAAATTGAACACATGAGCAGAAGTTGCACAGTAGAGTGTTTATGTGATACCATGCTGTCATCCCAAATTAAAGGAAAATCAAGTAACCTCATCATTAGTTTCCTAATGGCATTGTCATGTTGTCTTCTGAGGGAAAAGACCTTCATATTACTATTTTTGTGGGGTTTTTTAGTCTCTCAATCTCACTTGAAGGAGTAATGGGTGAAGATTCCTCACTAACTTCAGGGAAACAGGTTTTCACCCATTTTTCTGAGTACTTTCAGATTTACATTGTAGATTCTATATAGATTTATTTTCAGCTGAGTCTAGATACAAGCCCAAACATACAGTCTCTCAAAGCTGGAGGGAAAGAAGAAAAAGGAAAAAAGAAGAATGGATGCATTATGATGACAGGGAAGAGCAAACTGGTGTTTAGACATAATTAGTTGGAGATGTGTCTCACTCAGAAGGAATCACCAAAATCACAGTGATATGAATAGCACAAATCTTGACTCCTTCAGAATTTTTTATGCATCTAAAACATGGTGAAATATTTGCCTGGTATGAAATGTGAAAATTTACACCTTATGACATCCTTTTCTATTTTATTCTAGACACACAGCAGAAGAAAATCAGTGGTCCTGGCACAGAAAGTGACAAAAAAACAGAGAAAAAAGGACGAGGTGCTCAAGCAGCTGGCATCATTGGCATTGTCTTTGTGATAGGTCTTCTAACTGGTTTAATCTGCTGGCTGTGGAGAAGGAGGTCCTCTAATCTAGTGTCCTATAAAGGTAATGAGACACTTTGCGTGACCAAATGATAAGAATCCTTTTTCACTTGCCAAAATGCTCAATGTTATCCAACAGGAAGAGATGAATGAGTAAGCTAAATCAAGTATAAGCTACGTTATCTAGTAGGAAGAGATGAAGTATGACAAGCAGTAGGAAATCCTGCCATTAACAAAAACTTGGGATGCTCTGGGGAGGAAATGTAGTGCCCCAGAATGTGTTATTCTTTATGATTTTCTCTTCCTGTGTCTGAGCCTTTCTTCCTGTGTCTGTGTCTTTCTCCAAGCTGGGGATGTTTAGCCTGGAGAAAAGGAGATTCAGGGGTGATCTCATCACTCTCTACAACTTCCTGCAAGGTGTTTGTGCTCAGCTGGGGCTGGGCTCTTTCTCCAGCAGCACTGACACAACCAGAGGACACAGTCTTAAGCTGCATCAAGGGAAATATAGGTTGGATATTAGGAAAACGTTTTTATGGAAAGAGTGAGAAAGCTCTGGAATGGCTGCCCGGGGAGGTGGTGGAGTTCCCATCCCTGGGTGTGTTTAACAGAGCCTGGATGTGGCACTGGGTGCCAGGGTTCAGTTGAGCTGTTGGGGCTGGCTTGGACTCAATGATCTTTAAGGTCTTTTCCAACCCAGTGATTCTGTGAATTCTGTGATTCTGTGAATCCTGAGCCTCACAGGAAGTAATTTCTGGATGTGAGAGTAACTCAGCTTTATGTCTGTTGGGCTATGGTTTGTCAGCTATGATCCCTGCCGGCTCCTTCTGGACAGATGGCACAAAACAGGACTGGGGTCAGTAGCTTGCTCAGCTTAGCACAGTTTGAAGCAGAAATCAGAGCATAATTCAGTCCTGAGAGCTCTAGAGGCACTGGCTGGATGAGTAAGGGGATCAAGCAGAAATGTAGCTGGTCACATGGGTACCCTCGTGTAGCTGGATTTGCCCATCTGTGTGACTGTAAAAAAGCTCTAAAAGAAATCTTGTGGGCCAGACTGAGTCTGCCATTGTAGCTGAGCACTTGCTCTAAGCCCCTATGCAGGAACTAACATCTAAGGGACAGAGCAGGGACACCCACGCTTTTCATGGACAAGGACAATCCATGTTAGCAACCCTCAGAAAAGATCAGGGGAAAGCAGGGTTGTGATCTTGTCCAGGATCTGCAGCAGCTCTTGTAGAAGTCGTGTCCTTCCTACAGAAACAACCCAAAAGTGAGGCAGGACTCTATCCCAAGATGGGATTTTTTGGGGGGGATTTTTCAATCCCAAAATCTCTCCTTTCTGAAATGGTAGCCTGGGTTGTAAGCAAATAGAATATTGGACTGCATTTTACAGAACATTTAGCACATTGAACCCTCAGCTTTGGTGGATGTTGCTTCATATCAATCTCATTTTTCTGAAGTCTGTGGTTGTCTATCCTACATGCTGAAACCCATGCATTTGTTTCAACAGATGTCCAGCAAACAGAAGACCAAGGAGGACACAGCTGTAAGTATTAAAAATATATTATTTTGTTTGTCTTGAATGACTTAATCACTGCTTCAGTACTCAAGTTCAGCACAAGCCTTTAGATTAGACTTGCTGGAGGATACAAACTGAAGCATTTTTTTGTGCACTACATCCTAGGTGATCTTTAACTGGGATACAGGGACATCATTTGCATCATGTCTGTGAACCTGAGCCTATATACACCCAATTTAAAAAAAAACCCTACCTTTCCTAGAAGAAACATGCTCTTCAGACCTTCACCATGTTCATATTTTTATTTTTATTGCCACATAATATTGCAGGCCAGCTGATTTACAAATTCATTTGTTATTTATAGTAAGGGAAAAATGAAAATTGGGTGAAAAAATGAAGACAGATTTTTCTGAAAAAAGATTGGACAGAGGACAAAAGATTGGACAAGAGTACAGGGTGAAATATCTGCCTATTTGATATCTCACTTGGTAGTTTCTACAGAATCTAATGACTGTTGCCTGTGTGTCTGCAGAACAGGCAGAAAATGCTGTGGTTCCACTAAAACTGTACTAGTTAGAGCACAGTTTGCTGTAGCAGATGCTGTGAATGTACACAATGCATAGTGTCAAGCAGAAAAAAATAACCCTTAAATAAATAAACCCATAAAAAAAGCTTTTACTACTTCTAGAATTTCTTTGACAGCCATGGGAACTGGGTTAATGGTCAGTTATTTTTCAGACCACAGCCTGATCCCCAACATTTGTGGTTGCTAAACATCAACAGCCATTGCACTCCCTCCTGCAGAGCATAATCTATGGAGGAGGATGGATTTTCTCCTTAAAATAAAGAGACATTTTCTCCTCTTGTTCCTAGGAACTGCATTGACATAGCACAAACAGCTCATTTAAGGTCAACTTTTTCTTCTCCAGACTGAGTTATTGCAGGCCCTTCTTGGTTTGATCCCTGGCCTTAGCCCATTTGTAAATAAACCTCTGTGGCATAAATAAGAGTAAATATTTATCCTGTTTGTATTGAAGGCTGCTGTAGCATGATTTGTTCATTGAGGACAAAGCAAGGGCACCTTCCAGATGTTGCCTTTTCATTGTCATTTCTCCACTCCACTTGTGGAAGAGGAGGTGGGACAGCAGCTTTGGTGGCTCCCTGATGACAGAAGCTGTCCCACCTCCGAGGCTCCTGCTTTGGGCATCCTAATTTGAGGACAACTTGGATCAATACCAGAGAGATGAAAATGCTCCAGGGAATGTGGTCTCTGGTGAGAGATGGATTGTGTCTGTTTAGGCTGGAGAAGGCCAGGCTGATTAAGGACACAATAACAACCTTCAGAGTGTCTTTTGAGAGGATGGGACAATTTATTTATTGTGCTAACCCAGCTGACTCTGCAATTAAGGCACAGCAGATGTAAACAAAGGAGATTTAAGCCAGATGTTAGAAGAAATTGTCTAAGGGTGATGGTAGTTGAGCACTGAGGCAGAGTTTGTCCAGGCTATCAAGCCTCCATCAGTCCAGGTTTGCTGCTTTGTGATTTCTTAACAAAAGAGAAAACCGGTATCTGGCAGGAATTATTTAGAAATAAAGCTGGCACTACCTTAGTACAAAAGATGAGCTCTAGGAGAAGTTCTAGCCTAATTCAGTCATTACTTGGTATTTTCAATCCTGTTGTGTGTGATGGGGGGTAAGGCCGTGGGGAGGTGCATCCAGGGGGATGCTCTGCCACAGCATTTTGTTTTCAATACTGCTGTAAATGCTCTTCTGCTCCTGGCACCTTATGAAGAATGTCAGGTTGTTTCATGGCAGTGACAATCCTGAATACTGCAAACCAAAATGAGATTACTGAAACTAATTTTGCTGATACAAAGGCAAAAAAAAAGAGTTTGGAAACTGAAAGGAAGGCAGATTGCAAAGAAGAGTAACTCCATCCTGGTGGCATTAGTCTCTGCAGACACCCACTCCAGTGAGGGGGAGGAAGCTCTGGTGAGGAGAAGTTCAGAGCTGGAGCAATTCTGAACTATTACATGAAGGAATTCCTTCATTTCCTGAGAGGACCCAGAGGAAGCTGTTTTCTCTTGCCCACAGAGAGGCTTTTTGCATCTCATTCTCTGAAATAGTTTTAATTGAGCCCAAGGTGACACTGCTATCCCTTCACAGAGGAGGTCACTGTTTCCATTTGCACAGAGAGGCACTTCCAGGCTGTGGCAGGAGCACAGAAAGCCCCCAATGTCCTTGGTATTGGGCAGGACTTCTCCCCACTCAGTTCTCTCTCAGCAGCATGAATATGTCTTTTCCATAGCTTTGCAGCTTCTTCCACTGGTTACATAGGAATGATTATTTCTGGGGAAGTTTTTTGTCTATTTTTGAATAAAAATAAGTTATTTTGTTCTTACAGCACCTGTCTAAATGGAAGGTCTGCCAACAATTTGGGCAGCTGGAGATGTGTCAAGAGAAGCATCACTCCCTCAGTGGCAGCATTGTTTGTAATACAAGTGACAGACTTCTGCCAAGAGAGATGGCAAAGGAAAAAAATGAAAAGCTTCTAGAGGACAAGAGAGATAAAAATCTGCAGGATTTTCATTCCAGACACTGACTGTGTCCACAGAACAGTTGTGTCACCACTCCAGCTCAGCACTTTGGACAGTCCCCTGTGATTGTCAGTGATTTGGGCAGCTGTACTGAGGAAAGCAGAAATCCTGGACTCAACTGCTCTGTGCCAGACCACTGGGAGCTGGAGACTGTCCAGTCTCTCATCAGGATCCTTGAGGACTCTCAGGAGCAGAAGCAGCACCTTCAGGAGCATGGGATGTGCTTGCTGTCACCTTACCCTGAGGATGGCTACATGTGAAAGAAAGGCAGCTAAAACAAAGAAAGAAAACTGAAGGGCTCTGCAGAGTGAGATTTGTGACTTCTTCCATGTTTCTCTCTCTCTAGAGTACAATCCTTTCATTGATTCTTTTCACCAGCTGCTGCTGTGTACAGAACCAGGCAGAGCACCCAGTCCTCCAAAAACTGGAATTTCTCTATGGGGTCAAATTCTGAATTTGTTATCAAAAGGGAAGGTGCCTTCTTTAAGCCTTGATAGCAATATTTTGGTTTTTACCAAATATTCCACCAAAAAGGGGACTTCCACTTTGAACAGGAGCCAGCTGTGAGAAAAAACAAGCTGTAGAAATCAGAATTAAACATAGTGCTCTCTGCTATGTGAATGTCATGTTACCTGGACTTACCCTTCTCAGCATGGAACAAAAACTGTGGTTGAGCTCTGCTTGATTCAACTGAATCTTTATTTAAGCACCTTCCTGTGGCTTCTAGGGAGGATTTTAAACTGAAGGTTTTAAACTAAACTAAACTTGTGCTTTTGTCTCATCCTTGCACACACCCAACAAAACAAAAAAAGAACAAAAACCAAATTCTATCAGTGTGTTGTCCATGAATGTCCAGAAAGCCAAGAGCTGCATTTTCCTTGTGCCACTGCATGTGCCTTGCTGTTTCAGCCCCAAGTCAGCCAAACTGGCTGCCTGAAAATAGCAAAAGAGTAAACTTTGCTGATGATATGAAATTCTGAAGGAGGAGGAATTTTTACTAGCTCTCTGTCCCAGATGGGACAGTTTCCCCATCTTGTCATGAGGGGATGGAGATTGTTATTTTAAACTGAGCTCTGGAAACACTTGACCTCTCTTGCACCAGTTGCTAGACTCAATTTTTATGATTTTTGTGAATAAGTCTTGTTTGTTTTTGCTTTGCGTGTAAGAGGCACTCCAGTATCAACTTTGAGCTCAGACACTGATTTTTCATATCAAGATCAGCTTTCAAGTCCCAGCTGAGTGAAAATTCTGTTTTACTCACATCGCTGGAGGCAGGGCCATTTGGCAACAGTGCAGCAGTTATCTTTTGTCAAAGCAGCACCCCCAGGGAGGCTCCCAGCTGAGAAGCTGTGCTTCTCTCATGTCTATAAATCCAGATAGCAGATATTTTCTGAGTCCAGATCTCGTCTTCAGTGTGCCCTAAAGGGAACTTGCTTGAGGAAAGCTTGCAGACACCTCAAAAATGTGAACAGCAGATGTGCAGGGCAGCCATTTCCTAGTGGTTCAGTAGAAAGTCCTGCAGACATTTCCTTCTTATCTGTCACATGAAGATGTTTTGTGCAGCCTGTGGTGCTGCTGTACCTGACAGAAGCCTTTCCTACAAGTAGTTTCCACTTTTATATTCTGTAACTGTAATGGTTCAAAGATATAAGAAGTGACCTAGCAGTCACTCTGCAATATGGCATTAAAACAAATTTAAGACTGGTTGGATTTTCTTATTTCTGGGCTACTTCATGGATGCACCTAAATACAAAAGCCTTTTCTTGCAAAATCTGTGCTTTGATTTAGCTTAGGGTTCCAGCTATTCTTAGAGGTCAGTAAATCCTAGATGACAGTTAGTTGTTATCATTCAAAAGGACTTGGGAATTTAGTAATAGCAGTTTTTGTCTTCACTTGCCATGTTTATCTTTTAAATAAAGTCTATTCATTCTTCTGGATGTTTGACTAAATCTATCAACACACACAGAGCCAAGTCAATCCAAGCCATTGCCTCCACCCAAAGTGAGTTTTACTTTTTAGCCACATCCCTCAGTGCTCCTTTTCAAAGGCCTCAGATTAGGGGAGGCAAACACAACACAGAGCTGACCACCTTTGCTTTGTTTTGGCTCACACAACAAAATCCCTCGAACAACCCAACAAACTCCAGGAAAGCCAGGCAGTGGCCTGAGGGCAGCACTAAGCCTGGGCTGATTCATCCCTTTCTCACCCAAGTTCACAACCCCAAGCAGAGCAAAGGCACAGCACACACTCCTGCTTCCAGAACTGAACCAGCTCATTGCACTCCCCCAGAGCAGTCTTGCTCAGGAGCACCAGCATCCCTCTGTTTGCCTTCACTAAAGACAGCAGCTCTCTTAAACACATGCACAGGAAAGCAACAGTTGATGCAGCTTTGGAGGAAGACTAATAAATGGACTCACTTTCACAGAAAAGTGAAAGACTTTTTGTTGTGGCATGGCTGGTAAACCACAAGTGGAAAGCCCCAAGAGAAAACATGTGTTGCTACTTAGTGATCTGGATCCATCTATCCTGTTGTCAGATTCACTATTTAAATCTTTTTACCTGTGAGAGCTGAAGTGTCTCTTTTGCTCAAAAAAGCATTTCCTTTTTCCAGCTCCCCTGACTCCACCGTCTGTTCTCAGCAGCTGTTGGGCTACATCAAAGAAAACTTATTTGTTGCTTTCCCAGCTTGCAAAGTGAATCTTTATATTTGTAGCAAACATACACAAAAGGTAACATTACCCCCAAGTATAATTTCTCTAACTTCTCTCATTTCCAGAGGAGCAGAAACTTCTCTAAAGAACAATGGAGTACAGCCTAACTCCAGGGAGAAAACAGCCCCATGTCTGTTAGGCTTTTGGGGTTTTTCCTCTCAATATGTGAATTAGGGCCTTCACTTCTGCCATGATGTGACATGGGATGGAATCATTGTCATCTGATCTCCCCTTGAGGATTATTGTGGAGCTCCTGGCGCAAGTCTGGAGCAAGGGTACAAATGTGATGGGGGGACTGGAGCACCTCAGTGATGAGGGAACACTGAGGGAGGTGGCTCTGTTCAGCCCCAAGAAGAGACAACTTGAGAGGGGACTTGAGCCGTGTCTGTCATTGTCTGCAGGGAGGGGACAGAGCAGGGAGCAGCTGAGACATGGGACAAGAGGAATGGGCAGAAACTGGTGGACAGAAAGTTCCACCTGAAAATGAGGAAGAACTTTTTGTTGAGGAGGCTGAGCTCTGGAACAGGAGGCCCAGGGAGAGTGTGGAGATCTCCCCTGGAGATGCTCAAAAGCTGCCTGGGCACAATCCTCAGTAACACATTCCAGGGGACTCTGCATGAGCAGAGAGTTTGGACTGGATAACTGTGGTCCCTTCCCTGCTTACCCATTCTGTGTTTATAAAAGGCACCCTATTACAGCGATCTGATGAGGTCGTCAGGGTGAGAGAAGTGGACAAGAATCTTGTTTGATGATCAGAAGGCTGGATTTATTGATATATGATATATAATACATAATAACTATACTAAAAGGAAATAAGGAGAGAAGTTGCAGAGGCTGCTAACCTAAGAATAGCATAGAAAGAAATGAAATAACAAAGTTCTGTGTCCAGCAGAAAGCAAGGACAAACTCTTTCTGTGAGTGGTCAGCAAATCCAAACACTCACAGAAGCCCAATCACCACTGTACCTGTTACATTCCACACCAGCCAATAACAATTGTTTACATTCTTCTTCTGGGGCCTCAGCTTCCCAGAAGATGAAGATAAACAAATCCCAAAGAAAGGATTTCTATGAAAAAATGTCTGCGACAGCACCCCACATGTTCTTGGAGGTGATCTCCTCTGCATCTGGCACCCCAGGGAATTTCAGAGCAGTGATTTCTATGTCATTCATCTCTCAGGATGCACTTAGGTGACAACAGGTCATTGTACAATTACCTTCCAACAAAGGAAAAATGCTTCCAACATTTCCTGTGTTATCAGCACCACTTAACATAATTACTGCATCTGAACCATGCTCCTTGATGTCAAATGCAAGCCCTTGGCAGCTGCTTGTGACACTGCTGTTAATCACAAACTCTTTGTTTGCATATTGTTAGGAAAGAGCCTGTCTCTCATTTCAGTCTGGCACAGAAACTGCTATGTAGGGATAGATGCTCATATATCTAGGATGCTTCGGCAGACCTTTGAACTTGCCCAAAATAGGTCCCAACAATTTACTAATAAATTACTTATTTGTTATTCTGTAATTCCAAGAAATGCAGCTAAGGACAAATGGACACAGAGTCATGCTCAGAGTCACACGAGGCTGCCTGGAGCTGACTTGGTGCTTACACTCCCATCTCCAGCTTGCAGAGACCTTTTTCCACTTGCTTGACTGGAAAGTCTACTTTTGTGCAGCTTCCACCCCAGCAGATATCATAAGTCAACAGAAGCTGTTTGCTAATTTTGAATGGGATTACACAGCACCAAAAAAAAAAAAAAAACCTCTAAAAATTTAGAAGGAAGAAAAAGATAACTCTCATTCAAACTGGAAGTCTTTAAAGAATCTGTCAGTAAGAAGCAACAGTAACACAGCCATAATGGGGACAGGGAGTGACTGAAAATGTTTTAATTTCTTTTGCCAGATCTGTGCTGTCACATGCCATTCCTCTTACAGGGCTGAGACTGCAGTTTCGAAACAAGATCAGATTTGCCTGAAAAAAGAAATTTTCCACAGCATCATGCTGGACTAGAAGCAACTCTACACCTCTCAATTCATCTCTCTGTCAATCAGCCTTACCATTATTGTGCTACCTAGCTTCTAAAATGCATCACCACTGCACTTATCACAGCTACTGTAACTAAAAATAGGTCTTGGAATAAAGGTGCAAAATGCCTGAGCTGTAGCTAATTTTACAGCAGTAGGCAAACATGAAATATCTTTATCACCTTGTTGGAAGTTTTATTAACCAGCTCAGATCAGTGTGATTAAACTCTGTGTCAGCAAAGGACTACAAGTGAAAGACCATAAACTTGGTTTTTCAAAGCCTTTGCTTTGGTTTTCCTTGCCCTCATGAACTAAGTCTGGGTATGCCCATATTTCCACCTGGCTGTGACTGAGCACAGAGGGCTGCTATCTTATTCATGATATGTTATTGAATTCTCTTATCAACACCAAGAGAAAAATCCAGCCCTGTGCTGGTTCCTGACCTACTGAACAAGGCAGGAGGGCTGGCCAGATAATGCCCAAGCTTTCCAGGAGATTTCATTGACTGATTCTGCACAGGGTGAGGCAGAGGGACACCGCCCCAGGAAGGTCTCCTGCCCTCCTGGCACCAGCTGGCACAGAAAGCATGCCCAGAAACTGAAAGACTGGAGAAGCTGAGAAGTGGCTTTGGAGACAGGGAAGTCTCCAGGGGTCCCTGGCAGGGTGAGCCTTGGTGCCAGGTCTCTTCTCATCAGGTGGGGATCCCATTAGGGATCATGGGCACACCCCACTGCTGAGGGGTAAGTGCCTTTGAGCAGGAAAAATTAAAATAATACATAATTAAACACATAAATAAGTAACCCCCAAACTTCACACAACTGTTCTGTTTAACTTCAGATTATCTGTTCATTATTTGAAGTTGCATTTTTCATGACTACCATGAGACAGACAGCTGCCTGCCTATGCTGTTTTGTATGGGACAGTACAATCCAACTGAGAGGAGGAACAAGAAAGCAGGAGGGAAAAAAAGAAAATATTTTAATCTGCTCCAGCCCAGTGACAATTTGCCAGTCCTCAGGAGATGAAGGCTTGTGGGGGAAATTTATTAGTATTTAATTCATTTTTAGTGACAATTTGCCATTCCTCAGGAGATGAAGGCTTGTGGGGGAAGTTGATTGGGTTTTAATTTATTTTTATTTAAAATAGCCCATAAAGAAGAGCTACCAAACATACACTCTGGCCAGCTGGAATGATTAACCAAAGAC